CAAGGCAAAAGCCCTACCACTGTGTTATCACTCCAGCCCTGAAGAAGAGTAAACTGGTAAAATTGTCATGCACATAAAAGTCTGAATTGTTCCCATAAAAATGGGTTAAGGACATTAAACACTCCTTTTACAGTAAAATAGTCTGTGCTTAATAAAATCAGATTATAAAAATGATATGTACAAATCACAAAATATGGGTATATGAAGCAAAATAGATGAGTCCTAATACATTTCCCAGGTTGAAAAGAGGTCTCCCAAAGATATGTCCAGTACATTACCTCCAATACAAATCATGGATAGCACTTCTCTTGGGAATAGGGTCTTTGCAAGATGCAATTAAGTTGAAGATTTGAGATTAAGGTAATCTTGAATTTTGAATTTTGGGTTGACTCGAAATGTAATGATTGGCTTTTTAAAAAGAAAATGAAGTTATTAGAAGATTTTAGGAGATTTAATATAGAGACACACAGCAAGGACTGTCATGAGAAGAAGGAGGCAGACATTGAAATATGTCTTTAGCTGAGAAATGGAAGGATGGGACAGCAGAAGCCAAGGGAGAAACATGGGCAGATTCTCTCTCACAACCATTGAAAGGCACAGGTCTGTCAAAACCTTGAGTTTGCCCTTTTGGCCTCTCAAGTACAGTTCTGGTGTTTCAAACCACTCTGTTTGTGGTAACTTCTATAGTAGCTACAAAGCTAATATAGTGCATGCAAACCCTAGAAACATAAATCTAAGATTCATTAGATTAAATACCAGATTAAGACTCTTAAAGAAACGTACAGGAAGTAAAAAGGGCTGTCAAACAAAATTAAGAAAAAACAAACCTCCACAAAATAAAAGGTAAACAATCTGTTTAGGAACATACTGTTTTTATAAAAATACAAATCAGCTCGTCCACCATTGAGACCATCAGACTGGGTTGCTTGTTCATACTTGATTGTAATGTTCACCTCCTCAGTAGAGGATGGTAGGGCCAACGGCCTGGGTACAAGGGATACAATGGGAAGGACTGAGTCTTAGGGTGACAACTTTCTCAGTAATGTTGGAACAACCAATATTTTAATAGGGAAACTCATATCAAGGCTGGAAATGAGATGGGAGGCCTGCAGTTCTGGGAATCTAACTTGGAACCTTACATATGCAAAGCAGATACTCTGTCACTAAGATATATATATATATATATATACATATATATATACATATATATATATTCCTGTTCCTGCAACCATTTTTAGCCTATTTAAAAAAATTAATAAAACCCCCACCTAATACTGGTCTACTTTGCCATACAACCCCACAGCATATGACTTTAACAATAGATGAAGTCCAGGATTTCCTCTTCTATTAGAACATCTTGCTAAGCAAGCTTGTGCAATCAATAAATGATTATTTTATTAGTCAGTAGAACGCCATTTCAAGTGTTTGATCAAATAGGTGTGTTTAGCACAACCTTCATCTTAACTAGATCATATTTTTAGTGATTCTGCTTCCCTTGTTTACCATGCCTTAGGAGTATCAAAATATCAGTCTCTTAAAGAGATATAACTCCTTCCATCCTTCCTTCCTTCCTTCCTTCCTTCCTTCCTTCCTTCCTTCCTCCCTCCCTCCCTCCCTTCCTCTTTCCCTCCCTTCCTCTTTCCCTCCCTCCCTCTTCCTGTCTCCCTCCCTCCCTCCCTCCCTCCTCCTCCTTCTCTCTTTTTCTTTCTTTCTTTCTTTCTTTCTTTCTTTCTTTCTTTCTTTCTTTCTTTCTTTCCTTCCTTCCTTCCTTCCTTCCTTTCTTCCTTTCTTTCTTTCTTTCTTTCTTTCTTTCTTTCTTTCTTTCTTTCTTTCTTCTATTTGGGCCACAGCCTGCAGTGCTCAGGGCTTATTCCTGGTTCTGTGTTCAGCATCATTCCTAGTGAACTTAAGGGACCATATGGGGTACTGGAGATTGAACCTGGGCTGGCCCTATGAAAGGTAAATGCTGTATCTCATGTACTATTGCTCTAAATTATACTTAAATAGGTCTGATTTGAGAGCAAGTTTTGGTGTGAAAATGAGATGGGTGAAATGCTCCTTAGACCACCCATTCTTACTGCATTTCTAAAGGTATTCACAGATCCCCAAGGGCAACTTTGGATTTCAAGGACCACCTGGAGATATGGGAAGCCTTTTACTCACCCCAAATAATTCACACTAAAAATAAATAAGGAAAGAATTGCCTGCCTTTAAATTGGGTATTAAACATGTTGAGACAGCGAGCTAGTAAAATGGAATTTTTGCTTCTAATTGGGAAAGGTTTTTATATGACATTGACATAAATTGAGGTCATTGATGAAGAAGCCAAGCACCATGGATTTTTCAGTGTCATTATTGTATTTGCATTGTGGTAGATTAATTTAAGAGGGGTTGTAGCAGTGAGTAATTCACAGTAATTGTTGTCAAGCTTGGACAGGAAAAATAAAGAGCTTCCATTTTCCAGGATTGGGAGGATAAAGTCTTTCTCAGAATTACCCTGTGGTAAAGATTGCATTGGTCATTTTCACTCTCCAAACCCATGCTGTGGTTGATTATAGTTTTCAAGAGCTAGAGCATTTATGCTTGGGAAGAGAGTCAGAATCCTAATTGCCTATTTAATTTGGGTAGCTTATCTGAAAGAGTAAGACAGGCCCAAGGTAAGACAGTAAGATAAGATGCAATGTCTTTCTCACTGGGTCAGATGACAGTCTGTGGGTTCTAAATTGGATTTCTCTATATAAAGAACCAGGAGGCTGCTGTGGCAAAGGTCAGAGAGCTATGGAGAAGGGTGGGGGTGCGTTGGTGTCCATGGTTAGTTTCTTACCCATTTACATGAAATTTTCTAGCAGTATTTTGCTCATTGGCTTATGATACTTGAGGAGTAGTGTGATCAAATAGTCTTCATCTTCCTGCCCATGGGGTGTCAGGAAATTTTTAAAATAAGCTTCCTGGGGTAACATTGCTGCATGATGGAGTCCCACTGTGAACTTGAAAGAGCCTTGCAAATAACTTTGGGAATGCCTTTGCCATTAGTCTTTCCTCTATTTGTTTAACCTTCCCCGAATTCCTTCAAGTGCATATTACTATCTCCAACCAAAGACCAGACACCTAAACTCCTCTTGCTACATTTTCCACTTGTGTAGCTGGAGGGCAAGAGTGGCACCTGCCTTGGAGGCAGTGGTTGGGGCCATAGCAGGTAAGGGAAGAAGGGTTCTGGTGCCAAAAGAAGGATCCCACAAAAATTTCTCCCTTTTATATTTGTTAACATGCCTTTCCTGTTGCCATTATATCCTATTAGAGTGGAGATGAACACCCTCTCTTAGAATGTTGTTTAATGCAGCATAATTTTGATCCAGAATCTTCAGAGGTTCAAAAGAAAACAGTGATAGAGCATCCTCAGTGATCCATTTTGCTTTGACATGTTTTCACAAAATACTTATTTCTTTCTTTTTTTCTTTTTGGGTCACACCCGGCAATGCTCAGGGGTTACTCCTGGCTTTGCACTCAGGAATCACTCCTGGCGGTGCTTGGGGGACCATATGGGATGCTGGTAATTGAACCCGGGTTGGCAGCATGCAAGGCAAATGCCCTACCCACTGTGCTATTGCTCCAGCCCCACAAAATACTTAATTCTCTATTTTTGTGCTTGCCCTTGCTCTTAATTAATGAACAATAGGAGGGTATTATCTTTGAATTGATAAGGGTGAAGGAAAGACATTTGCTTATGGGATTACAGGACAGAAAATAAGGAAAGTAGATGGTTGTCTGATAGCTTCTTGAAGGAGTTGAAGGAGCTTCTTCATTTTATTCACTCACCCATCTATTCTTCCATCCACTATTCATTCACCCACCCACCTATCGACCTATCCATGCATCTCAAACAATGAGATTTTATGCCACATGCTGAATGAAGGGGCACAGTTGTGACAATTTAACCACACTAAAGCAAATCAAAGCAAATCATCACCTTTGGCCTCCACCAGTAGGGGTCGGCCATAGAGAATGGGATAAACAAACAAAAACTGACCAAGCTTTAGGATCACCTGGGCAGCAGCAATCGTTGAGCTCATAATCTGGCCATGTATTCGGTACAATTTGGCTCCCTGATCTTGGCACTCAGCATGTGAGTTATTGTTAACTGAGATATTAAAGACAGCTGGGAAGCACATCCGAATTCTAGGTGCATGAAGAGCAGAGACTGGGGTCTTTCACATAACCAAACAGGAGGCACCCTTAAAGGAGAGAACGAAGTCATGACAATTCCCTCCTCTGCTTTGCTTAAGTTGCTCTCCATATCTAAAATACCCTAAACTGTTTTATTCTATTCTTTCCTGTTCTCATTTTTTTTTAACCTGTCCTATTATCTATTCTATTGTTTCTTGGGAGCTTTTTTGTTTACTCTAATTCTAAAAGCTTCAAACTGTTTTGCCCAGAGGACTATCTCCACCTTAGGAATTTTGTTAGGGGGACAATTTCCCAGAGGACTAAAACTAAAATAAGGCGGTATCTGCCCCTATAGAAATCTCAATCTGATGAGCAACACAATAGCAAAATAGAACAATGTAGTTATGCATTCTTAATTTACTCCTTCCCTTAAAACAAACTTCTAAGGTGGAAGTGGCTTAAAGCAGTACTGTGATGACTTCAGTGATTTCAGTGAAAACAAACACTTTTTCCTGTTTTAATACTAAGTATTAAAACAAGAAGGGAAAAGTGGAAAGTAATGCCAAGGTCTTTCTTTACTTTCTCTAGAACTGTGTGAAATTGTAAGTTATAAATGTAGGTATATCTTTCAAGAGAGAAGCCCTCATTAGAAGCTCTGGGGTGACTTGGAAAGCAGGGGCAGGATTGGGAAGCCAAAATACATGGAAATTTCAGATCAAAGCATTTTGGAAGCTATAACTTTCCTCATGCTGATAGCTGCCTGAGATGTTGGATGCCAGCATGGTTGTATTCCTCTTTGTTTGTTAATATTTCCCTTCTCTGTCTCTCTTTTTCAGACCCAGCTATTGTCAATGGAGTTTATTGGTCTGAATCCCTTAACAAAGTTTTTGTGGATAACTTCGACCGTGACCCATCTCTCATATGGCAGTACTTTGGAAGTGCGAAGGGCTTTTTTCGGCAATATCCAGGTGAGTATGCCTGCACTGAGAATTAGGATTCAGATGAATAGTCCTGTACTATTTTCCTTTAGGGCTCAGGGCTAAAACATTCTTTCCCTTCCCTCAGGAGAAAATGAAAGAAATATTAAGTGCAAATTGTCAGGGTACAGAATGGGAATGGTGAATTGGCAGCCACATTCATTCAAGCACACATAAAGCATTTTGATTTTTATGTGACTTTGGCATCTTTCTCAATAGAGTAATTCAGAGAGCTGCCACTAAAAGTGAGGAATTGGGGTGTGAAAAGTACCATATTTTATCTTTCTGGAGAAGAGTTTATTTTTATTACTATGACTTCTTCTACCACCACGATTACAACTACTCTATAACTGTATTACAATATGATTATTATTATCGAGGGAAAGAGCAAGTCATAAATGGGGAGAGTTCAATAGTGACTGGAAGCTATAAGCAATGGATTTCCTCACTTCAGAACTGACTTCATGGAGGATGAGTTTGAAATGACCAAAAGTCTATTAACATCAGCAGCATCAGGGTCACCAAAAGCACCCTCAGAAGGTGTGTTGTCAGTGTTGGTTCATCAAGCTCTTGGAACAGGTGTTCTTTCTGGGGCCTTCCCGGGCCTCTGATTTGCAATAGGAATTGAATTCTGGCTTGGTTTGAATGTTAATTAAAAAGGGAAGTTTTAATTTTGCTTACAAGTTGTGAAAACAGGACTCGAGGCTGCAATTGTGCCAACATCACAGCTGTAGAAATTAACAAGCTCAACCTAAAAGAAGGAAAAACGCCCCGTATAATCTTAGAGCAATTAAGTGGAGTCTTTTATGTTTTCATTAAGTAAAACTAGGCACCTGATGTCTTCCCACTTTGAGGCACAGAGACTGCCAGCCTCTGCCTGGAGGAGCTGTTTGCCCTGCACACAGCATCTGTCCCATGAGGCTTGCCTGCCAAGCCTTTGCTGTGCCATGTTTTTCAACATTTCCTGAGAGCTGTGTTCAGCAGGGCGTGTTGGTTCCTCCTGGCGTGCATGGAAATTTAAACAATAAGCATTCTATTAAAGATAGTGTTATAATAAACAGTGGTCTATTAAAGTTCCAGTGCCACCAAATAGCCATCTGCTTCCATATACTCATAAACGCAACACAGATGTTTCTAGAAATAGCGAAGTAGGATAGGATGAGGGGGCTGAGTCATGAAAGAAGCCACAAAGACATCTTACCAAGTCACTGTGTGGCATTTGAACGAAGGTGGGGTACAAAAGAAGAAATCACAATTCATCTGTTGTAACCTTCAGCAGGAGGTCATGAAGAAATGCAAAGACTGAGGTATATCCTCTGTTTTGGGATGCTTTAATAAAATACTATGATGTAGTGGAAAGCTTAAACAGCAGACATTTATTTCTCACAGTTTTGGTGAGTGGGTCATCTTGTTGAGCATGCCTTCCTGATTTGATGGTGGCTACCTTCTTGTTTTGTGCTCACATTGTATATTAATGGCTCTAGTTTCTCCTCCTCTTTGTCTGAAGACGCTTATTCCATGATTGGGGATCATTCCCTCCTGACATTATGTAAGCTCATTGCCTCCCAAATACCTCATCTCTTGGTACAGTGCTGATGGCTTTAGAGTTTCTATGTGTAGAGGAACAGAAGCAATTCCATTCATAACTCAAAGTAAATCTGTAAAAATCCATTGAAGGTTTATGTGAAAAGTCCTTTTACATAGAGTTTTTATCAGAAGAGTTGACTCAGACATGTTTACTTTTATTCTTTTTAAATTAGTGATAGAGTTTTGACTTTATGAAATGTTTCTTTGCAAGTCAAGACATGGGTGACAGTCTCCCAAATGGCTTTTACTTTTTTGATATAAGTCCCGTGGTCATTCATTGTTTGGTTTTGAACAGAGAGCATACCTCTTGTCAGCTTAATTAAAATGATCATTGGAAGAACAATCCATGGACATTTTATTTCTAGGATACTTTTTATTCTAGGATGCTTCTTTGCGTGTTTAGATATATTAGGTATAATGGTATGAATCAGTAATAAGTGTGTACATCCTTTAGCAGAAGCAATCCTCATTCTTAAAAGTGTGTTTTGAGGACTAGCTTTATACTAAGATGTGGTGAGACAGCAGAATAAAATGGTGAACTAGATAAAAAAAGAGCTCTTAAAGCTTATAAAGCTCCCTCTTGTGGGGAAAAGTGTTCACTAGGGATTTGGCTACAAGTGACAGAGACCCAGTTCCAACTAACTCTAGGCTAAGAATGTATTGCATAACTTAGAAATCTAGGGAGTGAGCTAATCAGCAAGATCATTGGATTTTGAATATTGTCAGCAATCTCTCTCATCTTTGCCTTCTTCTAATCTGACTTTATTTCACCATCAGTTGATCTCCGTGTGACAGGCAATCGCAATATTCTTCAACTATGATTCTACGGGATGAGCAAGCCCTAGTTCCAATATATTGGATGAAATACAATTATTAACTTGGTCTGAGTGACATGCCTAAATAGAGTAACTAGAAATACCAAGTAATGGTAGGGCTAGCCTGGGTAGAGACTATTTGGAATTGGTATGCTCTTTCTTGGACTGGATCACTAAGGAAGGGACAGTGAAAACATAGGATACAGAAACCAGGTAAATGAGTCATCGTGGTATAGGGTGTTGGATGCTTAGGTGAGGAAAATAGAAAATGCTATTTTATGTTTTCTGAATCACTGAAAGTGAATAACAATTTCACTCTCTGGAGATGAGAACAGAATTCTTGGGAAAAAAATTAACAAGTAAAGGATTAGTCAAGCTAGATATCTGTGATGTTGTTCATTTCCACATGGCTCTGTGTAGAGCTCCTCAATTAAGCCTCTAATGTACACAATGCAGTTGTATCGTTATGCTATCCCAGGGGAATTTCAGTGATGATGGACATGTTCTGGGCATACAGTGTTGATACAGATGCCACAGACCACCTATGGCTATAGAGTAGTCAAAATGTGTATGGTGAGTTTGATGAATTAAAAAATGAATTGTATTGAGATTTAATTAATCCAAATATAAAATGAAGAGCTACATGTGAAAAATAACTACTTCTATAAGCAGTATAACTCTATAAAAAAAAAAAACCAACTTGTAGCCTTGGGACCAGAGAGATCAGGGTTAGGTGCTTGTCATGCATGCAGTCTTTTCTGGTTCAATCCCTAACAACACGTTTGGCCCGCCATGTACCACCTAGAATAACTCCTTAGTGCAGAACCAGGAGTAAGTTCCGAGTGTCTCCCGGAAATAAAAAAGCCAAATAATGCAAAAGATTTGTAGTCTTTTACCCAGTTTATTTGTAGTCTGATACCCAGTTTGCAGGGTACTGGTCTTAACTTTTCGCACCTGCATTGCAAAGGGGTGTAGGCGTCACAGAGGAAAGTAGTTCAGTTGTGTTATTCTGAATAATTCAAAATTATCAGCAATGGAGTGCTAATAAAGGGTCTTTGAGCTTCTCAGGATTGACTATTTGAGGCTCAGAGAATTTTTGTTTTCATTTTATTCTTGAGAGCCTTTGTGAATGCTGTGAAAATAAGCATTCATTTTGACCATAGTCTCAGTGACACCCCTCCCCCACTCCGCCCCCAGTCACTGAGCCCTGTGTTGCGAGTTTATACAAACATTGTCTGGTTTAATCCTCTCCATGATTTTGATGCTATGAGGTGGAGTCACTGTAATCCCTATGAAACAAATGAAGAAACTGGCAAAAAGAGTAACTGATTAATGCAAGTTTCATCAGCAGAGTAAGAGGGAATTGATAATGGTGTAAATCCTTCAACCACCCTCTTTCTTTTTATGCAAGCATGATGGTTTTCATCCTGCAAAATATGAACTCTGGCCTGCAATCTTCTGCCATTGGGTTTTCAATTCCCAACTTCTTTATTTGAAGATCTGCCCCAGAAGGATAGAGCCATCTGTTTTACCTATCACACTGTGACCAGCACCAATAATAACATATTCTAAGTACTCATCAGTCTGTTTTTGGTGAAGGGATCCATCAATCTATGAATCCAAATTCCTCTTGAGTTATTGTTTTCCATAACAGTGGCAATAACAGTCCTCCCTTTTCAGAAACAATTGAGCTGTTACCTCTCTGGCATGACGGTCATTGACTTAAGTCGGATGGAACTCAGTGACAAGCAGGACACTAATGTACATACACAAAACAGCTGTGGCTTCCCTTTCTTCCCTCTGTTTCATACTCTGCATGTCTTCCCAAGCCTCTGCCTTTCTAGTTCCAATGATTTCACCATGTTCTGGATAAAAGATGCCTCATCTACTGGCCTTTTATGTCAGGATGCCTCCTGACGACCTCATTATAATTACTAAGGGTCTGTAGACTCATCATCTCCAAGAAGGCAGAATCACACCTACAAAAGGAATCGTCTTCCTGGAAACTTCATATCCCACTTACTATATTCTCTGTGTATGACCAGTTTCTCTCTTGGGGATAACAACCAAAGCTGAACTACTGCTCTTGTTCTGGTTATGAGTGAATTTACCCGAAGTGATTATAGAAAAAGCTGTCTCTTATCAAGCATAAAAGACCAATTAAGTTTATGAATGATGATATGAAGCTCAGTATTATATTCTAATCATTACCTAGCATTAGATTCTAGTCCTTTCAGAGTCGTATCTCAGAGAACTTGTTCCAGTAGAAGTCATAGATTATCATAAATGGAACGGTTTTGTTCGTCTGTCATAATCTCCCTTTCATAGTAATTGAAAACTTGACTCATTGCTAAAGCCATAAGCAGAGAGGTACTGCTTGCTTGTCTGCAAATTTGGGCTTATACGTGTTATTGTGTTTTAGTCCATCAAATATTGATTATACAGTATTGCTTTTTATTTTTCAGTGAAGCAAAGTAGTTTTATTTAAAGAAAGTGAGAAAACCAGGAAGGAGAGAAAGAAAGAGAAATATGTTTAAGGAAGAATACTGGATGCTCCAGAAGGGAAAGGCCTATACAGCTTTACTTTAT